ATATACGCCAAGAGTAGGGTAAGTCGGTAGCCTCTTAAGAGACAAATCATTTAAGCTTTAAAGATAACTTTTTGAGAATATGTCGCCCGTAAAACTGTTGGAAACTGTTAGGGACGAATGTGAAAAAGCCGAGAAACTAGAGTTTGAAGCACATTGTTATGACTGTGATGTGAGCAAATTCAGTAGCAGCTTTACATTTTTGCATTTTTTGGTTCCCTCGGTTTGTCTATCAGGCCAGAATTCTTTGCGTAGGTGTGCCTGGAAAACAAGATCGGTCGTGAATGTGTTCGTTTCTCCCCTTGTGGTCATACTTTCTGCAAGGACTGCGTTACCTCGTACCTCAGCGAAAAGCTTACTGCCCAAGAAGTGAGTTCCCCATATTGTGTAGAGATATGAACTATATTGTTTCAATAGCAATCTCATAAACTTACAGATCTCACCTTTGACCTGCCCCGGCGATAACTGCAATTCAAGCATTCCTCAAAAGCTTATTGTTGAACTTCAAGGCCAAGTATGCCTTTTTCATTTCACGTATCGTAAACTTCTTTCTTTAATCAGCTTTATTAGAAAGCTTTTGATCGTTACGAGCGTCTCCTTCTCTCGCGAGCTCTGGACACGATGGAAGATTTGGCTACTTGCCCTAGGATTGCATGCCAAAAACCAGCTGCATTGAGCCAGGCGTGAGTCATTTGCTTATGTCATTCTATACCAATAACTCCACGCTGAAGTTCAGCTAGTTTAGTCCATACTAGTGGCGGAAATATTGAGAGGCGCAAACAAGAGGGGCCAGAGCGGAACATGCGCTCAAATTTTCAGGTTCACTCAATTTTTGCAAAATTTGAGATTGATACTAATTCTAGTTAGAACAAGTCATTTTTTAAATTAATCACCCTTTAAAAGAACTTTTTGATGTCTCAAAATCCTTTTTTAGGGAGCCTTTCTTTTCCTCCCTTAAAGTGAGTATCGGAGATTAGCTCTAAGTAAGGTAGAAAATCTGCTTGCGGCTGCTAAGCATTACAAAAAAGCTTTGAATAAAAGTTAATAGCTTAAAAAAGTGTGTCACCTGTTTGATTCGTCTCAACCCCTTCATTTCTACCCTCGAAATATAATTCATGCACACTCATTCTAGGATTCTTTCTTAACGAATAAGCTAGTAACTTACAACAATTCGACTCACTTACCTGCTTCATTCCCCTTTTAAAATATCCTAAAAACAGGCCTTAGCGGCGCACAGAAACCATTCTTGGGGAGAAGAGCAAAGGGCAAACTGTACGGGGTCCGCGAATTAGAGAGATCGTAATAGTTCCTCATCCTGCTTTTGCTTTCCCCTTTAAGGGTCGCCTCGGATACTTACCTACCATATTAATTACATGCCCACAACTCTGGTCTGCTCCAAAGCTTGAGTGCGCATTTACGCGCAAAACTCAAACACTTATTATCAACAATATATTTAACTCGTTTTCCAAGCGAATAGCCGATGATTGGCATTCAAATTTGGCAAGAGGATACGCAGCAGGGAATTCAAGGATTATATGCAAAATCTTTTAAAACCTATGAGGATATCGCATACCTTTTTGTGATATAGGCCTCAAACGGAGACATGTCTCCTTCTAGCAAACCTTGTTTCTCACAATTTTGTTTTCTTGATATTAAACGGTTTTTATGCACTCTTTGACCCAATTTAGAGCAAGCAAAAACCAGACTAATGCACTTTTTCTCTTCCTTGTTAGGGACTTAAATCGCTTCACCTTAAGGAAAAACGCGCTGGAAGCAAACAGCGCAGCGGTACTTAACTGTTGCAATGTTTTCTACTGATTACAATGAGGGCTTCGTAATTTACTGGATTTTCAAAAGGATATTCGTTCTCGTAAGTTCCAATCGGAGACCTCATGCCGGGGATTGCCTAAAAAAGCATATTGGGATTACAAATATTCATTATAAATTTTCGGCTTTAAGAGCTGAATAATGGAGGATCTATAGAAGTACGACATGGGAAACAGTTTTTCGTAAAGGTTTGAAATCAGTGTACTGTTATTATATATATTAGATTATGTGTAGATCTCAATAACTTTGCAGAAAAGTTTAATACGCTTGCATAAAACATAGTCGTTGCCAATGCTTGAGTGCTTTATCTTGCTATAGACGATACGTCTCATCTCTAATTGCTTCTTATTCGTTGTCAGAATGAAGATGTGCTGCCTTATAATTTTAAGGGAAACAAAAGCTAGTGCTCTTTCTATTTGAAGTCCTCATTCTCTCCTTAACGAAATTCTATCCGAAGAGTATATTCCGAGCTAAGATCATCTCCATGACATGGTGAGGTTTGCTCATATAAGCCCTTACTTCGACTTGGAAATGTGATAATAAAATTGTATAAGCATTTGGACTGCGATTTTGGGCAGACCTTTGAGTGTGATGTTAAT